GGTAAGGGAGATGCCTGGTCCCCAGAATCATGAACATGGGTGCTGCAGATCACAGCCAGGGCGGGTGGAAGGCAGGGAGAGCAAACCCATCGAAATCAAAATGACCTCACCTGCAGTATGGAGGGAATTGCAAAAAATCAGTCAAAACAAATGATTCTCTCATAGCCAAGAGGGTCTGCTTTCAAAACAATTAGCTCAAACATCTGCCTAAGCACCCATGCTGTTTTCACATAATTAAAACAAGTCTTCCTAATCCCACTGGACAGTCTTTAAAAACTGCTCATTTTCTGCATTATTTACAACAAGGAAGCAGCCAAATCCTCCCATTGGTCCTTGAAGGACATTAAAAGGACCTCTCACCTGTCGTCCCTATCTCCAGTATTTCATGATACTAAGCAGGTAAAGGAAGGCTGGAATATTGCTGGAACGCTGAAAGCAAACCTGAGCAGCCTCTGAGACACAGAGTGAGCCTGCTCGCTCCTGGAGGATATTCCCTCTGCCAGTGGGATGGCCAGTGTGGGAGAACAACCCAGGTCCCCTGCAAACCTGGTCTCTGACAGTCAGGGAGGCAAAGGAAAAGGACATTCCTTGACAATTCCACCACTTCAAACCAGGAAAGGACTTCTTCCACGGTGCCTTTGTGAACACCCATTTTCTGGAATATCTTCAAGCCGCAATGGTCTGCTGTAATTATTTATCAAGGTACAAATCATTAATGCAAAATTTCTGCAGGCCCTGAAGCAAAAAAAGTTAATAAAATATAATGCCACTGAATTAAACATTTTAAACTTTCACAATAGAGTAACTACTAAGAAAAAATAAAGGAAAATCTATGTCAAACAGAACTTGATGAATAATTGTAATAAATAATGTATTTTTGAAGAATTTTTCATGAACATTTTTCAATGTCATTAATTATTTACAATTATTCACCAGATCATTTCTGAGAAGAGTTTTCGGACTCTGACTTGTTTGCTGACAGTTTGCTCAGATAATTAATATTCAGACACTTCCAACCCAGACCTGGCTCAGTATTTCTCTCTGTCTCAGTGAGAGCAGTGCAGATCCCTGGTGCCGTAGGGTGACCGCATTGCATTCAGTGTGTTGGATAGATCCACCACGGAGGGTCTGCATGGGCAGCAGCAAACAGACCCATTAGGATTCACCTAAATGGGAAGGGGCAGATAAAAAGGAGATGAATTTGGACCTCTCCTGTGAGGGTGCCTATGTCATGGGAGCCACAGGAGGTGCTTAGTTATGTGGGAGCGCGTTCAGTAGCGCTGGGGTGCTGTCGCATTTGGTGGGTGGTGAGGTTCATGTATGAATTGCACCCTGTCAAAGGAGACAGTGCCCACTGATGGCCATGCCTTATGGGTGCCAAGAGAGCATTTCTCTGTTGAGACATCATTTCCCAGCTCCTGTAGGAAGCACTGAGTAGATCCCCAACTAGTGGGAGGAAAGTGAGCTGTGGTAGCAGCCTGCCTAACGTCAGGTGTTGCAAGGGGGAGAGCGAGTTGGTTTTAATAAGAGCTATCAGGATCAGTGCAGACTTCCAGATTTGTTCTTGAATTACAAGTACCTCTGTACCACAATGTGCATGTAGATCCAAAGGAGGAAAAAAGCCCTGGCTGTGAGCAGTGTTGCTTATAAGGAACCAGGCAACAGTTCATAGAATCATAGAATAGAATAGTTAGGGTTGAAAAGGACCTTAAAATCATCTAGTTCCAACTCCCCTGCCATGGGCAGGGACACCTCACATTAAACCATCTCACCCAAGGCTTCGTCCAGCCTGGTCTTGAACACTGCCAGGGATAAACAGTTGCAAGTCTTATTCTTACTAGTGCATTAAATAGTGGACACCAAACATGTATTTGTTGCACAGCAGAGGAACTTTGATCACTGCATCTATCAATGCCACTGCCATTCATAGGAGGTGCTCCTTTGTCCTCTCCTGAGAGCAGGACAGTGCCCATCATCTTTGCTTGCAGAGCACTGGAGCCTAAAGCCTTTCATACACATCTTACCTGGGCACTCACAGGCACCAGCCCCATGTGCTGCCGGCCTGGGAGTTGCCTGGGCTCCATTCACGCAGGTGAGAGTTCAATTGCTGGGTGCAGGGGATGCTCCTCAGGCTCTGCTCCCTCCAAGCAGCTCTTTGCTCCTGCTGCTCATGCTTTGTAGTCTCTGTTTTGGATTCCAAGACCCAAAGCTGTCCTGTAGACAAAGACATAAGCAAGGTTTGGATGGTTTGGATCTGTTCCCACAAGATTTAATCAGCTGAACATGTGCCCATGCAGACAAAGTGAACTGCTGTCCATGAACTGAATCTCAATGACCCTTTCTCTCCTCAAACAAACCTGAGTATCTCTTCATGTTTCACTTGGAACAGCTGTTAATTGCTCTGAATATTGTTGCTCTCAGATTTGGTGCCCCTCTCTCATTTGGTGCGCACCACCTCTGGATTGGTAGGCAGACTTTGAAGCTACTCTCTTTAATTGTAATTCAACTACTTGTGATATTTTGGTACCAATTAATATTGATTTTACAATTGGTTTACAGAGATGTTGTTTTATTACTAATATATTTAATGTGCAAATCAATAAGAACACTTGTTTGGCTCTCTCCCTAGAAGGTAATAAAATCAAATATCTCAAGAGTAAAATGCTATCTGATCCATAAATGGCAGCAGCAGATGCTTAATGTAATAGTTAAAGACTATGCAGCATTCTTGGCACCTTCCATGCGTTTTCCACATACACTGTACTAAAGTGACACTCAATAACTTGCTAGTTACAAAAAGTTTGGTAAATTTGTTGGCACCACATCAGCCTAAAGGAAGGCTTCAGTGTCAAAGAATGATTTTATATGGACAAACTAGATATTCCTTACTACTCCTTGTGCGGGGCTCCTTAGGGTTTCCTGAATGGTGGCTCCATAGCAGAAGCCAAACGTTCTTCATGCTTCTCCTGCTTCTTGAATCCCAGGTGATTGTAAACAGCTTTATGGAAGAGGAATGACCTGAAAGGAGGCGAGAGGAATATGGATTTAAAGCTCTGCTGATACTTCTGGGAGTTGTTTAGGAGGGAAGATTTAGGTGATTCTCCTGCTTCATCACAGGTTTCCTCTGGTGCTTTTCTTCCCTTTACTACTGAGTAGACCTATTGGAAACCAGGGCAAGGTGGAGGCAAGTCTGCTCATCATTCACACCCTCTCCAGGGAACTCACCTGCTCCAGGGCTCACCCATGCTTTGAAATGAGCCTCACTGGTCTGGGCTTCACAGCGCTCTCCATCTCACCTGAACGTGAAGCTGCCAGTGGCACTTTGTGGTAGAGAACAGGCTTTTGTACCAGGCAATTCCCAAACACCGCAGGTAGGGATGCTGAAGGATTAACAGAGATCAAACTGACTTCAGAGAGGCTGGGGAGATGCAGGCCAAAGTGGGGAAAAGAGCAGAGCTCTGGGGGTTCTTCCTCCAGTTCCTGCAGAATCAACAAGGTCTTGGGGTCCTGCAGCTCCTGCGGCACTGGTGGAAGGAGCAGCTTTGTAGACATGGAGCTTGTGACACAAACTAACAGCAGCCTCACAACAGAGAGGGGATTTACCTGTGGCTAGAGATGATGATTTATGGGTGAGCAAATAATGAACTTGGCAAACAGTACATAATAAAGAGAAAAATCTTACACTTTTAATTAGCCAAAAATAAATGGCTGAGCATGGGGCTGAATCCATTGTCTCTACATCTCAAGTTCTTCATCTTTCACTAATTGTGGTCTAATGAGCATATTGCAGAAGTTTTAATTCTCTTTTAAAATTGCTAGAGCATCTGAAAATCTTTTTTCTGAAGGAGAAATGAATCACACTTGCATCATCTCCTCTGGCACTCCTGCTCTTTTCCCAAGATCCCTTCAGAAATGCTTATAGTCACCTTAGCTCTTCAGATTCCTGTTGTGGGAGCTGCGCCACGATGCTGCAGTATTAGTTACCCTCTGAAGTACAGCAAAAATGACTCCATTAACTGCACAAAACCCCTCTTCCTTCAGCAGGCTGCAGGGCTTTGGGGGGAGAAAGGATCCTGTATTTGATACAGTCATGCAGCTTCTGATACAATGAACCTGGCTGCAACCCCTTGGTCCTCTTATTGCAGCAGCAATCAGTGAACAATCACTGAGATGACCAGAAACACCTGACCTTTGGTATTCCATTCAGAGAGGGACAAGAGACTTTCCCCAGTGAGATGCAGGGCAAACCCTCAAAAGGAAGGTTCAGACATTTCAAAGTCAAAATGAACACCAAAGTTCTCTGCAAAATGAAATTCTGAACACAGTTCTGAACTCAGCTGTTTTGATCAATTGTTCTTGGTCTTATTTACCTAATATTTGTATTATTAGGTAAAATAACGCCTACCTGCTCCAAAGGTTGGTGCAGTGAGCAGGAATCCTCCCAGCCCTGAGCTCCAAGCCTGCCTGCTCGCACAAGGGCTCTCCAGGGGCTTGTTGGCCGATGGATAACGGGGTCTGAAGACATAATTCCCTGCAATTGACCCAAGGACGCAGTGTTTCCGTGAGTAACCCTGACTACAGGCTCTTGCTCTCTGCTGAAGTGCCCTCCAGAGAGGCTCAGGGAGCTTTTCATCTGGGGGCTGCTCGAGCTGCTGAGTGCTGGGGTGGGATGGGTGCCCACTGCATCCTTGTGGGACCCCACATGGACAAACCCCCAAAGCAATGGTAGCTCTCTGAGTGTCACAGCCCCTTGTGTAGATGCCACACCAGCGGCTCCTGCCCAAGGCTGCATAGGAGCTCTGGCTGCACCCCCAAATTGCATCACTGTGGCAGGCACAGGGGACTCAGCTAAAATCACATTTGCACACTCCTCATTTCGCATACTGGTGCACCCAGCTTGTCTCCTGTTTCAACAGCCCCATGGAGAAGAACAATTATCACTGCCCTAAGAGTTATTATTCTTCTTAATAAAAGATGCAAGTTAAGTGAATGGGAAAGTGTCCTGCTGCGTGCTCAGCACTGGCTGTCAGTAGCCCAGTGTTCTTGTTCCCCCTCCATCATCTCTGGTCCCAGACAGGTGAAATGGGATGACCGCCATTGTGGGGAAGCTGTAAAGTATAAAATGCTTCATTTGCTCATGAAATGGAAATGTGAACAGCCGGAGAGAGGGACCTTGCAGCCTGTGCTGCCTCATAACCAGCCAAGGAGGCTTTGAGGTGCTCCTGCCATGGGGAAGTTCCATAGGATCCCTTGAACCTGGTGTGAGAGGTGAGGTGGTGTGGATTCAGACTCCTAGGAGCCACTGGAAACACGTGGGCTGCAGTGGGAGTTGGTTGCCCAATGCCACAACCAGCACACCGAGCCCCCAACACCCTGTTATAGCCGGCCACTGGCTCAATGCAGAATGCCACTGCACTGTGCTGGGAGGGTGCATGCTTTCCGGGGTGGCAAACCCACATTCCTGTCTGGAATATGCAACATGGAGACAATAGAGCAAAGTGTAACCACTGTTTACAGAAAAAATTGTCAAGGATTTATTTATTGGAAGTGACTGAGGAATATGAATTCTACACTCCATTTAAAATGCTTTTTATTTCTCTCAGCCTTGGGGCTCCGAGTACATCTAATTTCACCCATAGCTATAATTCTCCACCAAACAGTTCCTGCTTCTCCTCTGGGCTCCTGAGGAGTCATTTTGGTTTATGTTCTCTCCCGGTGCAGCTTGTGCAGAGGCTGGAGACAGTTACAGGCTAGCGAACTTTCCAAACCCTCCTTCCCCACTGGGTGCATACACACGCATGCAGTGCAGGCGAGCGGCATGCGCTGGAAACAGCTTGACACCTCGCTATATATCTATCTAAAAAAATAAAGCTCTAAATGTCTTTATCATGTAGGGGTTTCTCCCGAGGAGCCATGTATTTCACTTCAGACACTTTGATTGTCCTACCTCGCAGCTAACAAACTATTAGTTTTGTTAGTATATTTATTCCACTAAAATTGGAGCCTGTGATTACAAATCCAATAGTGTGATTGAGTCAGGATTTGGAAATAAATCTGTCCGGGGCTCATCTGGCATTTTGGTGCTGGGAGAGCTGGTGTTAGGCGCTGTTCCTCCAGCCCAGCTGCGGGCTGGACCATCCTGGATGTGGGTGCTCCGGGAAGGCTTCTCAGCCACAGGGCACTACTCTGCATGGGTTATTGATCAAGGGGTATTAGGTACTGGGAATGGAGCCGGTTTTCCCAAGCGAGCAGGAGATGGCTGCAGAGCCTGGCTTTCCAAACCACACAGGTTTTTAAGCTGTTGCAGTTTGCTCCATATCACACCCTCACCAGGGTCTGTTGCTCTCCAAGGTTTGTGGCATTCAGCCCATGACTTTAGTGATGTGGCAGGGTAAGGGAGTGAGCTGAGTGCCTGAGCAGGGACCAGGATGCTTCCCTTCCACACAGGCAGAGGGACGCTGGGGAAGGATGGGGTAAGCATACAGATGTGTGGCAGAGCAGGACTTTAATACAAATTCTCTGGATTTTTTAGGAAAAAGCTTGTTATTTCTCACTGTTTTCTGAAGGGAGGATAGCAGTTCATCCTCTGGGGTGTGATTTCAGCCAGGAGCTCTGCGGGCAAGGGCCTCTCTGCAAACAGGCACACAGATCCCTCTGGGGCTCACTCTCAGCCAGGCCCACTGGGAATGGGAGGGATGGGGACAGCCAGGGCGTTCCATGCCTGGGACCAAACCAAGGAGAAGGGGTAGGGAGTGAGCCAGGAGAGTGGTGAGGTGTTGCTCTTGCATTTCTGATGTCCCTCCAGATTATTTCCAGTAAAGCTTCTTTGCTGAGATTTGCTTGCTTTAAAACAAAGCTGTTGTTCAATTTCTGCAGGTAGGAAGCACCAGCATTTTAACTGTTTGGGTATCACTCCTTGCAAGCTCTAAGGAAAGGAGCTAGCAAGACAGAAATCACAGCACTCTCACAGGTAATGGCAAAGACTCCTCCCTGTGCCACATGTCTCATGGTGGCAATGACCTTGCCCCAGGCAGGGCTGCCTGGACACTTCCTGCTGACGTGCAGCATCTTTCCAGGCAGCCCCAGCCCCATTTCCATTGATGTGGAATCCCAGCCCTGTGTCCTCCTTCCACAGGGATGCAAACACATGACCTGGAGGTGAGTTCTGCATCCCGCACCCCGAATCCACCACCTCTGGCTGTGCTGCCTGTGGCTCTGATTCCCTACCAGGAACACATGTGCTACCAGTATGTACATATGAAAAAAGCCTGTCAGGGAAGATTAAAACCCCAGACAGTCTTTATCGTAAGATTGTTTTTTCCATTTATTTATCCCTTTTTTTCCCTTTTAGCAAGAGTAGTCAGGTTTTGATATGATTAGAATTGCAAATCTTGCATGTTAAAAGGGAAGCACTGAAGTAAAAGGATGCTGCCTGTGTAATGAGACACATTTTAAATCCAGGCTAGGTAAATTTTGTGTTGAGCATAAAGGGTATGAAATAAACTAGCAGTAAGCTCAGCAAATGCCCCAAGGCGCGTCCCCATTAGTATTCCCATTTGTGAGCTCACTTCATAAGACTAATGGAGTTGCTACCTGGGGACATTAATTGTGCATGACACCATTGCCGAGCCTTTGTGCACTCTTACTAATATCACAGTGCCTCTTTGACAAAACGCCTGCAAAGATTACAAACATACCTAAAATAACTGCCACATTCACACTCATATTTGACAGGGATCTTCAAGTTCAGTTACAATAGAATTACCATCATTTCTTACACCTCTGACTTTTTATTACATTAAACAATGGTTGATATTGCTTCCTTTAACCAGTGTCATATTGTGTAAAATCTATCTATCCCAGGCTTTTCTATTAAGCCTCCCATTTATCAGGGAAATGTATAGCTTCCATACTTGACTCTTACTACAAATATTATATATTATATACTTAAGCAAGCATGCACATGTACACACACACCTTCCCTTTGCTTTAAAGGCACAGCAATATGTCTGAGCTCTTGCAATTAATACCGAGAGGCTCTGCCATTGTGCAAGGTGCTCACAGGTCTCCCAGCATTAATTACAACATGATCTGTGGGGAAAAGTCTTCCTGGGTCTGCGCTCCCTGTTTTGAATCCTAGTGTCCAGGATTAAGATGATGGATGAGAGGATTTGCTGAATTCACAGCAACCAGAGCAATATTGTGTTTCAAACAGCAGATGAATTGGGAGCCTCTGGAGCTCTGAGATGATGGGCTCGGCTTTTCCCAGGCACATAGGTGGCACTGTGGGGTTCCCTGTGTGCATACACTAGGGCTGGCCCTGCCGTGTTCCTTTCAGACACATCACCTACATTAAGTTCTCCTCCCATGGGTGCCAGTGCTCCAGTGGAGCTCCCTCGGCCAGTGTGGAGAGGCATCCGTGGGAGACCAAGGGAGATTTCATCCTCAGAAGTGACAAACAAGGTACAAAAGTGAATTATCTGAAACCCTTTGGGGATTCAGTGGGCAGGGATTTAGCCTTTAACTACCCCAATTTTATTTTTATATTAATTATAGAAATAAAGTGTTTGACTTTGTTTTTGGCACTGGCTGCCCCATCCCTGGCAGTGTTCAAGGCCAGGCTGGACAAGGCTTGGAGCAACCTGCTCTAGTGGAAGGTGTCCCTGCCCATTGGCACTGGATGAGCTTTAAGGTCCCTTCCAACCCAAAGTATTCTATAAGCCTATGATTCTGCTCTTTCCCCTCTGCACTAGAGTCTCCTCTGATCTTTCCTTTCAGAGAAGAGCCATGCTGCAGCTCCAATATGCAGTTTTAGAGGATGATGCTGCGGTGCTTCAGTCGTGGCCTCCCCTATTTCTGCTCCTTGAGACTATGGCAGGACTTACTGTCAGTAATATTAGTTATTAATTATTAATGTACAGCATTGTCTGTCAGCAGCTGATCACAAACTTCTTTACAAACATCATATTCTACCAATGACTGCAGCAGGACACAGGGGTGACCACTGGGCAGAGCTGCCTCCTAAGGTATTAGGGAATCTTCCTTCATGGGGCTGGCCCTGTCCCACACCTCCTGAAACATGGACAAGCAAATGCAG